AGGCACACAGAAGGCTCGCTCTCAGCTGAGTGGCTTTGAAAGCAGCGTAGTGGAGGGTCTGATGCTTCGCCAGCCAACAGGCTTGGAACTGGAAATACGGTTCAGCAGTTAAGGGCATGCCTTGCTCTTGCAGAGGACCCCAGTTCCATTCCCAGCATCCATGTCTGGTGACTCACAACTGCTTGTAGCTCCAGATCCAAGGGATTGAACATCTCTGGCCTCCAAAGACACCTGCAGTCATATACGTGCACACACACACACACACACACACACACACACACGCATACACACACACACACACACACGCATACACACACACTCACACAGACAGATACACACACACACACACATAGTTAAAAATAAATAATGTTTTTAAAAGAGAATGAGGCTGGGCATGGTGGCACATGCTTATCCCAGCACTTGGGAGGCAGAGGCAGGCAGATCTCTATAAGTTCCAGGCCAGCCTGGGCTACATGGAGAGGTTCTGTCTCAACTTCTCCCCTCCCTTACAAAAAAAGGAGGGGGGAGAGAATGAACAGGCTTTCCAGCAGGTGTTTTGTGGGAGGAGAGAGATAGGATAGACATGCCTCTCACTTGAAAACCTGGTGGCTCATCCTATCTCTGGGTAGGATGGTGGCCTTGGGGACAGAAGGGATATCCTCCAGCCTTTGGCTTTAGGGTTCACTGTGACTGACTAGGCCTTCAGTTACACACAGAACATGGTTTTTGGAGGTCTCTTCTCCTCTAAGATCCACCCTCCTCCCTTCCTGCTAGTGCTTAAGGTCAAAGGCCAACCAGCATACATTTAAGCAGGGCAGGACCTCTCTACAGCACACACACACACACACACACACACACACACACACACACACACACCAAAAAAACAAAAAAAAAAAATAGCTCCTGCACACAGTAGGTGTCTAACACATGCCACTGATTGGGCTAATGAATTCATGTTATGAAAAACTTAAGGACTCATTCCATATACTGAGTCTGCAGGAGGTGAGAACAAGCAGCCGTGTGAGCCAGGGTGGAGCCCCGGGGCCCTCTGCAGCTCTGTGTCCATTTCCTTGCCACCATTAGCACAGGCTGAGTGGCTGGGATGGGCTTGGCACGGTTCTGGGTGCTAAAAATACAGCAGCGGACACGACAAGCTCCCGTACTCTTACAGCTCGCTTCCTACTCAGGAGAAGCCGTCAATCAATCATCCGTCAACTGGCAAGATGTTTACAGAGGCTGCTGGGACAGCGGCAGCCTGGAGAGGACCTAGGAAGGGTAGCAGTCCCTACTCAGAAGCATGAGAACAGAAGAAACCAGAAGATGTGGCAGAAGTTGAAGAAGGACCATATGGAAATGAAAGGGAACAGCGTGTGCAAAGGTCCTGGGACAGGAATGCGCTTGATACTCAAGGAATGGCAAGGAGGCCGATGTGGCCGAAAGATGAAGAGCGATCAAGGGGAGACAGGAGAGAATGTAGACAAGGGTCAGGGAGTCTTGGGACAAAAGCTGTCCCAAGCATAGAGCATCATCGCACAGGACAGGACCTGTCAGGTAGAAGATTACTATTGTGACCCAGGCACTGATAAAGGGACGCAGTCCCACGGTGGCAGTGGAGAGATGCAAGGTGCCCAGAGCCTGGACATATGCCACAGGGGGAGGGGAGAGGACTGGGCACATGGTGTGAGAAGCAGAGAGGCATCCAGGCTGTTTCCAGAGCTCCTGGCCTGGAAAAAGGAGGTCACCATCCACTGACACGGAGAAGACTCTGGGGGCCAAGTCTGGAGCCTAGAAAGTGCACAGTTCTGTCAGTACTTCAGCAGGGCTTGGCCTGGCAACTCATAGGTGGTATTTCCAGGCCTGAGACAAAATAAAACCACAACAGAGAGAACATGGGGAAAAGAACAATAGGGACCTGGGTCAGAGCCACATGGTACAGACTGCGCTGGCAGATCAAGGCTCAGGGAAGACCTAGAAAACAGTCAGCAGGGGGACATGGCATGATGTCACTGATCACGGTGTTGATCAACTGTTACTTAGTCACATCTGCTCTCTCTGGGCCTTAGTTTCCCTACTGTGAAGCAGGGCTGAGGGAGAGATGCTTAGCAGGTGTTTTGGACACCAAGCCTGGCTTGGTGCCTGACAGATTACTCAAGACAACAGTGTGTGACCGTGGGAGGCTCCTGCGCAGGTCACCATGTGCCCTCCTGATACCAGCTGGCTCACTTCACCCGCAGAACATCTGTGTGTGGGCCCTGCTGGGACCGGGGAGCCCAACAGGCCAACTTCTAACATCCTTGATCTCTGGTACAGAGCTTCCTTAAGAACGGGCATTCAGGACTTTTCAGCTACAAGTGAAAAATTTAAAAACTCACAGAGCCAGTGAGAGGGCTCAGCAGGTCAAGGCACCTACCTGCCCAGAGCTTGATTAGACCCCGGGCTCCCATGTGGTGGGGAAGAGAACCAACTCCTGAAAACTGCCGTCTGTCTTCCACACACCTATCCTGGCACACATGTGCGTGCTCACACACAAACACATAATAATAAACTAAAACTTAAAAATACAAACACAGGGTGTGAGCTGTGAGCTGTCTTCCCAGAAAGAGAGGGCGTGTTCTTTGTTCCTAATACCCCTCCCCGAACTTATAACGAGACAGCCAGCCTCGGGTTCAGGCACAGCAGACGGACCAAAAACACTTCACTAATGCTGCCGGGGCCCCTCCGACATTCTTGCACTTATGTTTCCTGTGATGGCCCATGGTAAGGGATACTGGTTTTCCATTCCTGGAAGAGATAGGAAGTTTTCTTTCTGAACACACTCATGGAAGTGAAAAGATAAATGAGGGGGTACAAAGAAAATATCAGGTAGAGACCAGTTGACAGACTTGAGATGGGGCTTGGGAGTGGGAGAGACAGGAAGGCAGAGAAGCCCCACCCCAGATGATTCTCTTTCCTTTACAAAATCTCAGAGAGTAAGGGAGGGGGGACTCAGGGGTAGACCCTGTGCAGTCAGTCAGTCAATGTGTTCAAGAACCCGGGAGCTTCCATTTGTATTTCACAGTTTTCATTTACGTGTGTGTGTGTGTGTGTGTGTGTGTGTGTGTGTGTGTGTGTGTGTGTGTGCATGTGTGTGTGTGTGCTGGCATGCTCACTCTCACATGCACCAAATCCAAGAGACAGCACTGATGATGCTTGGAGTTATTAGTGTTTGTGGAATGCCAGCTTGTTATGTGGGTGCTGGGATCCACTCTCCCATCTTCATGATTTTGCAGCAAGCTCTCTTAACCACTGAACCATCTGACTTCTTTGCTGGGAAGGAAACAAGCCGCTACTGTATAGAGACATCATATATTATCCGTTAGCATCACCAACACTGACTGTAGCTCATTCACTCTCAGGACGCCTCGGGAGAAGCCACCTGCCTCTGAGGCCAGGAAATTTACACACGTGAGAAGCAGGTGAAGCAGGTGCTGTCACCTCTCAGTCTCAAGACAAATGGGAGAGTCAATGAAGTCATGACAAGGTAGGAATGGCTCACCGAGCAAGAGTGAAGTCAATCTTTACAAACAAAAAAGGAAACCTCCCAAGCGCTCAGGAAAGAGTGGAAGGCCCAGGTCATCCATCCTGCCTCTGTGCCAGGACCACAGACAGCTGCTGGAACTCCAGAATGTTCTCAGAATGCAGAGGGAGACAGAGAGCTGCAGCCAGGATTCCTGCCCACCCAGACACCACTGTCCTAGGGGACCGGACCTTGGAAGATCGGGCCTCTCTTCAGGGCACTACAGCCCAGCTACCCCAGGGGCTGCCCAGAGCCTGGTACCTTTCCCATCTCAGCCTAGTCCTTTGCGACCCCAAGGCTACCAGCCTCAAAGAACCTCCTTCACCTGAAGCTTCACCAAGATGTCTTTGCAGAGTCTAACTGGGACCTTTGCCAGTGGCTTAGATTTAGACCTAAGTCTCAGAAGCTCAAGCCTGGTCAGTCTACATCTCACCCCTCAGGGTGGACCTCAGCCTGGAGTCCAGTATGACCTGGATGGCAAGAGCCGCCATCCTTGCCTAAGCTAAGAGCCCTGCCCTATTCACGGGTTATTACTAAGCTGTGTACTGGGGGTCAAAACTGACCTGGCCTCACACAGCTCCCAAGTCAGCAAGCCAGAGGGGCCAAATAAACAAAAAGTTTGGGGGTTGTGATGGCAATGGGCCTGTGGAGCGGGAAGTCAGGGTCAGCTTGGAAGAGTGGGTTGAAAGGGAGGCAAGAGCAGCTCCGGGGAGAAGCAGTCAAGCAGAGGGCACAGCAAATGCAAAGACTTTAAGCCAGGCATGGTGGCTCACACCTATGGTCCCAGCACTTGGGAGGCAGAGGCAGCAAAATCACAAGTTCAAGATCACCCTCAGCTACGTAGCGAGTTTGAAGCTAGCCGAAGCTACATAAGACTCTATCTCAAAGTAAAAGCCAAAATCTTGGCACAGAATTAAGTCTGGTAACTTTGAGGACTGCCATGGGGTCCTGAGGCTGATGCAGACCAAGCGGAAGAGAGGGGGAGAGGAGAAAGGAAGGGTGGAGTTTTGCGTGGAAGGATCCTCAGGCCACATTCTGAGATGGGTTTTCTCCTTATGGTAAGCTAGGTGGGGTTTGGAGAAGGAAAACAACATGACCACTTTCTTTTCAGTCACTCTGGCTCCAGCTGGGGAAGCGGACCTCAGTGGGGGCCAGCTGGAGTCCATCAAGGCTCACTGGTGAGAAGTGACAGTGGCTTTAGCAGAGGGAAACAGGATCGGAGGTATGCTTAGACCTGTAGGCAGGACCAACAGGCCCTGAGAAAGAAGTGTGAATATGAGGGAGAGAGAACGCTCTCTAAGTTTCCCACATGTGATACACGATGGGGCCTGTCATGGAGAAGCATGCCAGCTTCCTCCTCCGTATCCGTATATAGCAGCTAACCCACCACAGTCAGAGTTTGAAATTCATTAGAAAGGCAGAGCCATGAGGCCTTATAGGATCAGCAGCAAGCGCTTACTCTGAGACAGCCACTGAGTGGATTCCCAATGGCTGTTTATTCCTTCCCAGCCCAAGAGCCCAAGTCCCCCCAAACGCACGGTGAGTACCTGCAAGGTCTCCAAGGCCTGACCAGCCATGCCCGTGGTGAGCGAGGCCACTTGCACTGCCTGCTTGCGGGCAGCCAGCAGAATCCTGCAGTAGGTGAAGCATATGGCACCTGAAGGCAGGAAAAAGGTGACTCCGGACGCCACGAGGACATAAGGCAGGCTGGCCAATAGGCGGCACTGGTCGGGGGCAGGTGTCCGAGCGTTGCCCAGTTTGTGCCAGCCCAGCAACAGGGGCAGGAAGGAGGCAAGCGCCGCGAGACTCCAGGCACCCAGGATGAGCGCCAAGGCCCGCGGGGCTGTCATGCGCAGCTTGTAGCGCAGCGGCGAGAGGATGAGCAGGTAGCGGTCCAGGCTGATGAGGCAGAGGTTGAGGATGGAGGCGCTGCAGCACATCACGTCGAAGGCGGTCCAAAGCAGGCAGAGGCCGCCCGCTAGCACCCAGCGCCCATACAGCGCGTTCAGCATGGCCGGGGGCATCACCACCAACCCCACCATCAGGTCCGACGTGAAGAGCGACACCAGGAAGAAGTTAGACGTGTTGCGCAGCGCGGGCTGCGTGCAGATGAGCAAGATCAGCAGCGAATTGGCCGCCGCTGTCAGTAAGATGACCACGCACAGAGCGGCGGCCACCCAGCCGCTTCCCCCTGGGGCAGGCGGTGGCCCGGGGCCCCAGGCTGGGCTGCTATTGTTGACAGGGCCCGGCTCTGGGACCATGGGGACTAGGGTTGAGGACCAGGACGAGATATGGTGGACGCGGGGACAGGATAAAACCAAAGGAAGAGGAAGGAAGCTGGGTTAAAAAACTGCGCCCCGGAGGAGTATGTAACAAAAACGGGGTCCTTAGGTCACCAAGCAGCGATTAGAAGAGATCGGGGAGGGACTGTAGGGGTGTCTCCAATGGTGGGGCCACCTGGAGAACTCCGGTAAGAAGTTTGGGGAGGGGTACCTGATGCGCCGAGTCAATTAAAGTTAGGTTGGCGTTAGATGAGAGAGCCCTGGGGTGAACAGGGCCACCTGGGATGGCACAAGATGGGGGTGGGGCTCCTGGCCAGAGGCACAGCTGGGAAGATGGGAGAAAGAGGCGAACTCGCACCCTCGGGCCAGGGCAGGCTGTCTGGCGAGGGTGGGCGTGTGCGTACGCTAGATCACAAGCTGTCGCGCGTGGGGGTCTCAAAGGGGTGGCCCGGGAGCGGGAGCGCAACCCAGGCGCGGAAGGCAGGTCTCCTTTCGCCCAGAGGCACCGCGGGATTCGGGGTACCGGAGGCCGCGGGCTGGGCCGGGCCAGACTGGGCCGGGGTGAGCGGCTTGGCAGAGGAGCGCAGTGCCGCGCTCCGCCTTCCCGGCCGCGCTCCCTACCTGGGCGCTCGCGGGTGATCTGCTGCCGGCGACTGCGGCAAGCGCCGCGGGGCTGGACACTAGAGGCGGCGGCTGGCGGCGCGGCGGGCAAGGGGCTCCCGAGCCGGGGAGACGCGCGCAGGAGCCCGCGACGCTTCAGCCACGCGCGGTCCCCGAGCCTCCGAGCGTGCGCCCCGCCCCGCGGTGGGCGGGCAGAGCCGAGCCCCTCTGGCAGGCGAGCCAGGTCGCCCTACCTTAGGCCTGGAGAAGATGCTCAGAGCGAGCGCTCCTGGGCGCCTGCATCCCCCACGCCTCCGCCTGCGGCTCCCCTGCCCACACGTGGTGATGGCGCAGGCAGAACTCAAGGAAGGGGGATGTGACCTTTCTGTACCCGGAGACTGCTCCCCAGTGGGGTCTGGTCCCTCACTGTGAGAGTCAACACGCTTTCAAGGGGAGTCAGCTGGGAAATACCGACCGAGCCAGTCGTTTGACACCCCTCTGGGTCTCAGTTGCTGGATCTATACAATGGGTAAATAATTTCTGCCATTCTTCACCTTTGAGTCGCCCCATCCAGTTCTCCAACAGCACTGAGTGCTATTCATGAAGGTCCCTCCTGGCCTGTTGGAGCGCCAAGTCTCAGTGGAGGGATTTGGGAATCTCCACGCCGTTGGAAGGGTAGTGTCACTGCAAGCAACGGGGCCGGGCCTAGCGCCTCCTAGTGATGACAAAATTTTCTTCACACCTAGTAGGTACCAGGTACCGTTCTGGCCAATCTGGACTCTGCATCGTATGATGCCTCCCATCTGTGAACTTCCGTTCTTGCAGAAGAAAACAGGCAAGAAACGGGCAAAGAAAACAAAGTGGCCATTTCTATAGGGAAAAAAAAGAAAAAGAAAGAAAGAAAATACACAGCAATATGAAGAGAACCTGGTGGATGTCTTTTCCAAAATAGAAATGCCTAGCTGGGCGGTGATGGCACATGTCTTTAATCCCAGCACTCGGGAGGCAGAGGCAGGAGGATCTCTGTGAGTTCGAGGCCAGCCTGGACTACCAAGTGAGTTCCAGGAAAGGCGCCAAAGCTACACAGAGAAACCCTGTCTCGAAAAACCATTTAAAAAAAAAAAAAGTTCTACAGAGGTCACCGGCACCGAGCAATCGAGTGGGAAATGGCTCAGATCTGCCAGGTGCCCAGCGCAGAAGGAGACCAGCGCAGGTGGTCAAGACGCCTCCTGCCTGAATCCTCAGAGCGGCAGTACCCACTCACCCTTTGAGTGGTATGGAGCTATGGAGCTCAGAGCTCACACCTGGGTGGAGCCAGCAGCAGCAGGCAAAGGCCTGCCCTCCCTCCCCCACTCCACACTACTTGGCCTGAAGCAGAGAATGTCACTGCTGCATGGAGAGTCAGAGACCACCTGGAGATCCCAGCATCACTGCTCAGTAGTTTTGCACGTTTGGGGCCGGTGACACCTGATCCTTCAGCCCCCCCTGCCCTCCCCCAACTCTTCAGCCACAGAGAATTTGGTGTCTGACTCACAGGGTGCCGAGGGAGATTAAGTGACACTGTGCCACCGACAGCTTGACTGTGCTGTGTCAATGCTGTTGGCTTCTGTGTCCCCCATTGGGTGCCTCCAATAGCCCAGGGAGTCATAACATGAGCAGCAGTAGATACATTTGGGGCCCAGTAACCTGGGCTCATAATCATGATCTGTTACTTGATCTGGAAGTCTGGCAAAGGTTATTTGCTTGTTTTCCTGCCTATGATTGCCTGCGTGCATGTTTGGTGCCTGTGGAAGCCAGAAGAGGGCATCAGGTCCCCTGGAACTGGAGTTACAAATGGTTGCGAGCTGCTGTGTGGGTGCTGGGAACCAAACACAGGTTCTCTGGAAGAGCAGTCAGTGAGTGCTCTTATCCACTGAGCCATCTCCCCAGGCCCCTAGCAAAGAATTTGTTCTTTTTTAAAAAATTATGTTTATTATATGTATATGCGTGTGTGTGTGTGTGTTGTGGTTTATTTGTACACTATGTGAAGATGTATTGCTGTTATTGGTGTAATGAAAGGCTGAATGGCCAATAGCTAGGCAGGAGGTATAGGCGGAACTTCTGGGAGAGAAAAGAAGAGAAGGAGCATTGAGGTGCACAGGAGATGCCAGAAGACATGGAGAGGAAAGAGGAGGTGCTAGATGGAAGAGAGGTAATGCCATGTGATGGATTAATAGAAATGGGTTAAAGTTATAAGAGCTAGTTAGGAACAAGACTAAGCTAAGGCTAAGCTTTCATAATTAATAAGAAGTCTCCATGATATTATCTGGAAGCTGGCTAGCAGAACAGAAAAAGACTTGGTGTGTGTGTGTGTGTGTGTGTGTGTGTGTGTGTGTGTGTGTGTGTGTGTAAGAGGACAGAGGACAACTTCCAGGAGTTTTCTTTTACCATATGGGACCCAGGGATGGAGCACAAACACGTCATCAGGCTTAACAGCAGCTGCCTTCTCCCTCAGCTATCTCCTCTTCATGGGTCTTGTTTGTATGCATGTGGTTTTGCTTGTTTGTTTGTTTGTTTGCTTGTTTGTTTGTTTGAGACAGGGCCTGTCTTAGTTAGGGCTTCTATTGCTGTGAAGAGACATCATGACCATGGCAACTCCTATAAAAGAAAACATGAAGTTGAGCCTGGCTTACAGTTTCAGAGGTTTAGGCCAATATTGTCACAGCAGGAAGCAAGGTGGCGTGCAGGCAGACATGGTGCTGGAGAGGTAGCAGAGAGTTTTACACCAGATCCACAGGCAGCAGGAACAGACAGTGACAGACTGGCCTGGCTTAAGCATCTGAGACCTCAAAGCCTGCCCCTCAGTGATACACTTCCTCCAACAAAGCCACATCCACTCCAGCAAGGCCACACCTCCTAATAGTGTCACTCCCTCTGGGTCTATTGAGGTCATTTTTATTCAAACCACCAGTCTTATCATATAGCCCAGGCTAGCCTCGAATTTTCTATCTTCCTGCTTAGTTTTCTGAGTACTGAGTTACACATATCACCACCATGCCTGGCTGCAGGATACTCTTCAGTTATTCATGCTTTAATATCAAGTAGTGGAGATACAAATGGGATGCATGTTTGAGCCTCTTGGCACAGATAGAATATAACCCCTTGCTTTAGTTTTTTTTCTCTATAATAAGTAATGTCCTTCACATTTTATAAAGAAAACATGATCATTTAGTTATTTAGTTATTTACTTTTATTTTATTTGTATGGGTATTTTTGCCTGCAGGAATATATGCATACCATATAATGCAGTGCCCAGGAAAGCCAGAAGCAGGCATTGGATCTCCTGGAACTAGAGTTACAGACCATTGTGAGGCACCATGAGGGTGCTGGGAACTGAACCTGTGTCCTCTAAAAGAGCAGCCGGCGTTCTTAACTACTGAGCCATCTCTCCAGCCCCGAAAACATGACCATTTTAACACGTTCTCATTCTAAGTGACATGCAATTCTTCATGCATGTTTGTGATGGTATGATCTGCACTATGCTATAATTAAAAAGTTTATTTTTAGTTGGGCAGTGGTGGTGCATGCCTTTAATCCCAGCACTCAGGAGGCAGAGGCAGGAGGATCTCTGAGTTCGAGGCCAGCCTTGTCTACAGAGCGAGTTCCAGGACAGCCAGGGCTACAGAGAGAAACCCTGTCTTGGGGGAAAACAAAACAACAACAATAAAAAAAATACTGTTTATATTTATGACTGGGCCTGGAAGTGGTGCCACCTTGTGGTCACACTGTTAATACCTCCAACTTAAGTTCTCCATTTGTCCTTGTGACCTGGAGTGACTGGGAGAGTCGAAGCCTTCCTCGCCATCACGGGTGCACAGGGGCTTGTGAGAATTTCCAACCCTTTCCTGGTTGCTCCTGGCCATGGTGAGCTTCCTCTATGAAGGAGGCAGGTATTGCCACAGTGGGATAATGGGACAATGATCTCAGGAAGTCATACCCCTCCTCCAACCTCCATGTCTGGAGACACAGGGGACAAAGACGGCTCCCCACTACACAGGGAGAAGCCAAGATCTGGGGAGGTTGAGTCCCACCAGAAGCCGCTCTTTGCAGAAGGTGCCGTGAGGGACATCTCCACAAAGGCAGGCTCTGTGCTTCGTGCACTGCTAACCATGAGCGCCGTCTAGGTTCTTCATAAATACCTGTCCAATAAGCGAATGAAAACATGGACAAACTATCCGTCCTGCTACCTGCAATGTGGGCAGTCATTTGTTCTCCATGATCACAGCAGCTGACACTTCCTGAGGTACTGCCTAATGCCAGGCACTGTTGCCAGCTCACCATATGCACTGACTTATGGCACACTCACCCTCACCCTGAGAGTAGGCTTGACTTATATTGGTTACAAACTGTATGGCCGTGGCAGGCTTCTTGCCAACTGTTCTTACAGCTTAAATTAATCCATTTCCACAAATCTATACCCTGCCACCTGGCTCATGGCTTACCGGAGTCTTCACATGCTGTTTGTCCTGGCGGTGGCTGGCAGTGACTCCTTCTGCCTTCCTGTTCTTTCTTTTCTCTTGTCTGTTAGTCCCGCCTATACTTCTTGCCTAGCCACTGGCCAATCAGTGTTTTATATATTGACCAATCAGAGCAACACATTTGCCATACAGAACATCCCATAGCAGGTGTATGCTTTTGTTCCCACAGAAAGCCAGAGGCTATGGATTTGTTCCAGATTAAGATACATCAGGTTTGACCAGCCAAGACTCCCTGAAAGGTCTCCGATGAGACCATGGCCCAGATGATTCAACATCCAGAATGGTTTGAAGGCAACTGGCTCAGACAATACAGCCTCATGGACTATTCCATAATCCTAAAATTTTCTTTGTGTCCCCATAAGATACAGCACCCCTCTCCATCAGGAAGTAGTAAGAGAAGCTACGCCCAAATTCCCAAATTATATGTAATTTTACTTTGTTAAGGTTAAAACCTTCCTTTTGGGGGAAAAAAAGGGGGGAAGTGCTGTGGGATGTTCTGTATGGCAAATGTGTTGCTCTGATTGGTCAATAAATAAAACACTGATTGGCCAGTGGCTAGGCAAGAAGTATAGGCGGGACTAACAGACAAGAGAAAATAAAGAACAGGAAGGCAGAAGGAGTTACTGCCAGCCACCGCCAGGACAAGCATGTGAAGACTCCGGTAAGACATGAGCCACGTGGCAGGGTATAGATTTGTGGAAATGGATTAATTTAAGCTGTAAGAACAGTTGGCAAGAAGCCTGCCACGGCCATACAGTTTGTAACCAATATAAGTCTCTGTGTTTACTTGGTTGGATCTGAGCGGCTGTGGGACTAACAGGTGAGAGAGATTTGTCCTGACTGTGGGCCAGGCAGGAAAACTCTAGCTACATACACCCGCCTACAACACACACACACACACACACACACACACACACACACACACACACACACACATACACACACACACACACCCTGGGGTGGTGGCACACATGTATAGTCCCAGTGCTGGGAAGCTAGAGACAGATAGGCTCCTGGTGCTCAGTGACCAGCCGGCCTGGCCTATTTGGTGAGTACTATCTAGGTCACTACGAGACTTTGTCTCAAAAACAAGGTGAACAGCACCTGAGAAATAATACTCAAGGTTGTCTTCTGGCCTCCACATGTGCCTGTGAAACTCCATGCACAAATACATACACACACATGTATGTACACATCTGTGCACACGTGCCCATACACACATACACACACAATTCTTTTTCATCCCTGAGATCTGGCCACTCTCCCTGGCAAGACTAACACATCCAACCAGAGGCAGCTCTTCCTTCGGCCCCTCCCAGCCTCTCCAATCTCACTGCCCCTAGAAAATTCTAGCCCCTGAGCCCACCCCACCAGCTGGCTGCTGCCTTCAGGCCTTTGGTCTCCAGCCTTTCCCTCTTCCTATTCCTCCTGAGTCTTCCTTTTCTTCTTCTTCTTTTTTTTTTTTTTCTTGGTTTTTCGAGACAGGGTTTCTCTTGCAGTTTTGGTGCCTGTCCTGAGTCTCACTCTGTAGACCAGGCTGGGGTCAATCTCACAAAGATTCGCCTACCTCTGCCTCCCGAGTGCTGGGATTAAAGGCGTGCGTCGCCGCCCGCCGCCGCCGCCGCCGCCGCCGCCACCACCCGGCCCTCCTGAGTCTTCCTGACATGCAGCTCTGTCTCTGGCTGCCATTCAGGGACTGCCAGCTGCCTGGCAGCCACCTTCCCACTTGACGTGTACCCAGGGCCTCACTGAATTATGTATCCACAATCTAAGACGCTGCCTAGAGAAAGGCACCTGCCAGTAAGACAGTTCACAGACTGGAGGCACGGGGCTTAGCACAGGGACCTCTGGAGCATATTTGGTGCCAGTTTTTTGACTGCCATGTTGAGGTGCCCTCAGATCTGTGAGCTCCTGCGAGTCAGTATGCACCCACAGTCTGGGTGTCCGACTCCCAAGAGCAAATGAGAGTCCCCCACAGGCTTACAAGCGCTTGTGCCGCCAAACTTGGTACGGATTCTGGCCCAGATTGCCTGACATTTAACGAGACAGCCCTGGAGAGATGACTAACTCCTCTGCACCTAAGATGCCTCGTGCACAAAAAATAAGGACACGATCGAAATGGGACTGAGGGCTGGGCAAGATGACCTATGCAAATGACTTAGCCCGGGGCCCAACCTTATATTCATTTGTAACCTTCGATGTTAGGAGGATTCATCTGTTTCCTCTTCTTTGGGGGCTTGGATCAGCTGGTGACATGTACCAGGGCCCATACTGGATCACTGAGAGTAAAGAGATGGCCAGAGGGATCCCAAGGGATCAAGTGTTCAAATCTAATTGTCCAGGCCCAGCCACGTGTGAGCAAGGCAGACATGCACGGAGAAGCCCAAGAGAGGGGGTAAGCCAGAGGCAGTGCTAAGGCAGGGAAGTGAGAGAGCCACCGGATACAGGGAGGAGCCACAGCGGTACTTATTTAA